GACAAAAATAATTAACTTAATAAAATTCTCCAATCCACCCTTGGCTATTTTAACCTACATTTTGCAATACAGATTGTAATTAATTACAATTTGGTGTTTAGTGAATTAACCCACTGTGTATTTGTATATATTGTCTACGATGCAGACAGTGATGTGACACAGATAGCCTGTTGCTGGGTCCACTGAGTGAACACTAAGAAGAGTAGTCCAATCTCCCCAAACTGCAGAGCAATTACTCTATACCCAGAATCAACCTGTAACTAGTTGGGTTTTTTTCTTTTGCATTTTCCCCAGGCCAAATATATTTTTTACTCTTGTGTCACTCCTTTTCATTTTATATACTGTGATGTCTTATCCTATGATGTCACTCATGTATAATTGATTATGCAAATAAGCGTGGCCAGTATTTTTTTCTTTCAAGAAAGGTGGCATAATCTTTCCTGAAAGGGGATGGGTCCGTCTGAATAACTGGCAGGTCAGCTTGGCGTGAACTCATGCTAGACTGCCTGTCCATTAATGAAGCCAGCCCAGTGAGAACGGTTTCAGTGCTCTGCAGGGTCCTGGTGCCCTGAGCAAAGCGCAAGTGCAAATAATTATGTGCTTGCACTATGCTGGTTGGGCTAAATTCCTGGTGTCCCCAAAATCAGGACCCCCAGGGAACTAAACCAGGAAGGAGGAAAAAAAGTATCCTAGCACCGCAGTGGGTAAGGGCTCTTAATTTACAATGAGGGGAGGACATCCCAGTGTCCAGTACCCCAAATTGTCATCAAGCCCTCCACTGGAGTACCCACCAAAAAAAATAAATGTGATGCCATTTAAGGGCTTTCCACACACTATGCAAGTAAGGTTTCCCATTTTCCCCCTGACACTTATGGGTTTGGGCTGGGGGGACATTAGCACAGATTATTTTAATTAAAACCCCACTGTGGAACATAAGTGGCACACCATGCCCTCCCCTCCCCCCCCTGATTATTTGAATTAAATACTAACCCGATCTCCCTGCCCCACAGTGAATTATTACAGTGAGCTGCCACTCGCCGTACAAACACTTTTTATACAAACAAAAAATCAAAAAAACATCATAACAAATTTTCCTCCTATCAAGGCTTGCATGGGATGTTCCCTTATTTTTACATGAAAATCAGTTGAGAAACAGGAAACCCTATGCTTAGCATGGGGTAAATAAACATTTTTCCTCCTTTGAAAACAATGGAGTTTAGAGTTATGGTTCTGTTTGATGTCACCATCCAGCTTCCGTTTAAGTTAAAATAACTTAAGCTCTATCTAGCCAAAATAAAAAGCTGCACAGCAAAGGAAGGAAATAGCTTTTTATTTCTAGATATCAAGGATAAAAGATTTGATTCTGTTTTAGGCTGTGAATAAAACAGATTCCAGAGCCCTATAGAACACTCAATTTGAACGTGACCTGGGCAAGTGTGGACCCATTGCCCTTAGCAAAATATAGTATACATGATTCAAATGAGTGCTAAAGGTTTACACCTTCCCGACTAATACTCGATATAGCAAGCGATGGAAGAGTGAGCAAATATGTCATCCTTTTGGAACTCTTTCATTGAAACAGAGAACAGATTTTTGTATTCTTGCATTGTCCTGGCACAATACCCATAGCGCTCTGTAGTTGTTATGGTTCTTGTAATGTTACTTTAATATATGCTCCTAAAGTGATGCCAGGCTTGCATAAAAGGCTGCATGCATCCCAAGATTCTTTATGGGTTTCTTCGCTGTTGATAAAATGGGAAACTAAGATTGGTGTGCAATCTGTATTTAGCCCCTTAAGGACACATGACATGTGTGACATGTCATGATTCCCTTTTATTCCAGAAGTTTGGTCCTTAAGCGGTTAAGCAAATAAACGTATAAAAGCAGAATGGAAGAAATGTAGCTAAATACGATAAGATGGTGAAGGAGGGTCAAATAAAGTATGGAAGAACAACACACAGGTGAGGCAGAGGCAAACTGTAGGGAGAAGAATTATTTGTTAAATTCATATGCCTTTCAAAGGCAAGAACCAGCATTTCAAATGGTGATATAACAAGACGCTTTATAGTCAGAATTCTAAATGGACTCCAAAAGGATATGGGAAGGATTGACAAAGGGTTGAGGTGTGTAACAAGTGGTGGGAAAGGAATATAAGCCTGTAAGTAACTAACTGTAGACTGTAAAATGGTAATGTGGCCTGAAAAAAACTCAATAAGGGTTGCAGTAACCAAGACTGGAAGAACATGAACATTTGCCATGTTTGCATCTCCTGTAAGGAGAGGAGAATATACTAACAATATGTTCGTAGTAATCATATACATGTGTATTTTAATACAATGTTCACACTCAGTAATGTGGAAGCATTTAGGTTGATGACATGCCAATGTTTTTTTGTTTTTTTAAAGAACCATGAACAAATTGTATCTAAATAAGTCAATGGAAAATAGTTGAATCTCTCTAATTTGTGTGTACATCTTTAACCCAGAGTTATGCATATGGTAACCTGAATCAGCTATTGTTGAAAGTCACCCGATCCATGAGGGTTTCTACAATGAAATTGGATTTCATTTTAAGTGGTGCTTTACAGAAGTAATACAGGGAAGCAATTGTTGGAAAACATTTAAATTTGGGTTTTCTTATGGGTGGAGGCTTCCAGCTAATCCATTTTGAAAGTAACGTATATTTTGGATTGAATTCCATGAAGTCTACAAATAGTGTTGCATACGGGTAAGGCAAGGGTGAATATAGGTAATGCACCTGTGTAATTGGTCTCCATGACAACCAGACACGCTAGGTTACCATCCCTTCCCCTGTGGGGTATTACTTTGTGTTTTTTCTTTTTTTGGTGTCATTACAGCAGATTGAGGGAGAAATACCACTGGTATTCATTGATTTGTTTGTTCTTTACTCTGTATACATGATTAAGGTTTGAGGCTGAAACGTTCTATGTGATTTTTTTTTCTCCTTGTCCCAATAAACTTCAATTTATTTCACCACACCCTGATGCCTTTGGATTTTATCAAGGGGAGGCAATGTAATATGCCTCCCCTTGCAACGTCATCCAGCTCTCTAGGAAAGCATTGAATTAAATGCTTTCCTTATGAGCTTCATTTAGTCATATAACTGAATTTCATTGGAGATGAAATAGAGCGCAATAGGGATGCATCCATCCAATCAAATACTTCCCTTAGGTAAGCATTGAATTCAATGTTTTCCTATGAGACACATTTAATGATGCATTTTACACTACAAGTATGTTTAAAGGGAATCTATAGAGCCAGGAAAACATACTTGTTTTCCTGGCACTATAGCTTCCATCTTTGTGAAGGCCCCCTCCCGTGGTGCAGAAGGGGTTAATAACCCCTGCTGTCACTTACCTGGGTCCAGCACTGATGTCCCTCGGTGCTGGCTCAGCTCAGCCCACTCTCCACTCTGCCGACAACTGCCGGCGGGGAGACCTAATGCGCATACGTGGCAATGGCCACACTTGCATTAGGATCTCTCCATAGGGAAGCATTATTCAACGCTTTCCTAGGGGGATTCTGGCAACGCTGGAAGTCCTCATGCATTGTGTGAGGTCGTCCAGCATTGTTTAGATGACAAAAGTCGTCCAAGCACCCGGTAGTCCCTCTAGTGGCTGTCTGGTAGACAAACACTAGAGGAGTTAACCCTAGCAGGTAATTATTGCAGTTTATAAAAATTGCAATAATCACATGCTCAGGATTGAGGGTGGTAGGAGTTTGCACCAAGACCCCTTCAATGGGCTGAAGTGGCCTGGGTGCCTACAGTGTCTCTTTAACACCTTAAGATAAACATTGCTGTTTCTACAAAACTGTTTTACAACTACAGGTATACTGCACCCAGACCACTTCATTGAGTTTTAGTGACTTTAGTGGTCCTTTAATATGTCCTATACTGTGAGATCGCAAGGGAATTGTGCTTGGTTATATTATATAAGGCTCTGATGGAGTAATTGATCCTAATGTGCCCAGAATATCTATGGAATTGTCTTCATCAGGTTTATTGGGTGGCTTTTGTGACCAACTGAATTTAAGTAGTACAAGAGAGCACAGTGTAAAACAAATAATAAGAAAAGTAGTTAGAGGGGTTATGGTGGGATATTATCTTATTATTCACCTGGAGGAGTGGGACTAAGGTCATCAGATAAATGTTATTCTAGAGAGTATCAAGATTATCCACTAAACCATAAAATAGCTGAAGTGGGGGAAAAAAGTAATGCTTCATCGCACCTGCAGACTCAATGAATGGCTTCAAATTATGGCCAAAATAAATTGCTAACTTGGAGATGTAACGTCCGCATTAACAATAAGCTAAGCAGCAGTTTTCCACTGGTGCCTCTGGAGGTCCTTAACCCCTTAAGGACACGTGACATGTCATGATTCCCTTTTATTCCAGAAGTTTGGTCCTTAAGGGGTTAAACAGTTTTAACATGAACTGAGCCCATAGTCTAATGGCACCAAAACCACTACACCAGAATATAATAGTTATGATGCCTAGACTACTCATATTAGTCAGTCTCTGGGTAAAGTGCTAAAGCAATAAAATATTTAAAGAATGTATGACATGGGACATGGAGATTAAATAAATTAATCTGACTTGTTTTAATCTATGAGTAAAATTCCATTTAAATTAAATACCAGTTTGTTTTTCTGTAGCAGAGGCTGTGTTTTGTTGGCCATAAATGAGGTCTATAGATTATGTAATAGGTGAATGCAGTAGGCATTTGTGCTGACCGATAATGGCATTGGGATCTGAATGTGCGTAGCTGATAAACACTGTGCTACAGAAGCAATTTCTTGACAGATTGCATGCCTTCAGTTTGAAGCAACACTAAGCACATTTTGCAAATTACATATTGTCAACATTTGCCAGTATTGCACATACCCCAGCAAAATCCCAAGCCCTTAGTTAATGTATCAGCACTTTTCAAAGGGGTGCTAAAATTATATTTTAACATCTTATTTCCCATTTATCTGTTACAGTCACATTTAACCCCTTAACGACACATGACGTGTGACATGTCATGATTCCTTTTTATTCCAGAAGTTTGGTCCTTAAGGGGTTAAGGACCAAACTTCTGGAATAAAAGGGAATCATGACATGTCACACATGTCATGTGTTTTTAAGGGGTTAAAAAGCTATATTCACTAATTGGGGAATTGGGAATAATTGGGATTTAGGCAAAAAAAATACCAATTTAAACTTAAAATGCACAACCATTTTGCCAGTTCTCTTCAATTCTCTGTTTTATAAATAAACTCCACAATAAGAAATTTCTATTCCTAAAGTTTACTTTATTCTCAAAAATCATCAATTACAAATTGAATCTGCGACTTATAATTCCAATTAAACTATGTGCTATAAATGCATACTGCAAGGATAAAATTCATAATCACCAAAATCAAACCAAATACTTGAGCAGGAAATTCCTCCAAATCTACAACTTTATATTCCATTATTGAATATTATGGCCTGAATATTGGATATTCATTTTTCAATTCACTGCATTTCACAGTTTAATAAATAACTCAAGTTCAGGCACAAAGCTACATTGTCAAAATATTTTTCAGGCTAATTTTAATAGATGATTAAGTAACATTTATGAAATTATATCAGCCTGCTGCAACAAATTCATAATAAATGTATTTATAAATCATGTACAAGAAGTTATGTTTAACCTGTTATTGTATTATTTAATATTATGGTATGTTATATAGTGAACATTGTATAAGTTGTTATTGCAGATTTGTATTTAAGCATTATTGTTAAACTGGTGGGTATTCAAAGGCATTGCAAATTATAGGCAAAAATAGATCAAGCAATTTGTGATAAATTTGCATTTTTGCAAAGATCCACCATAGATTTGTGCATTTGCATGATGGTGCTTGGGAAGTAGCAAAGATATATTTACCTGAAGCTGTCTATCTTTACTGCAATCATGTATCTCTGCATCTGTCTTTTTAGAATCTGGCAGCTAAACTAAAATGTTAGACTTACTCATAAAGGAACACTACAGTCACCAAAACAACTTTAGCCTGCTGAATCAGTTTTGGTGTAGAAAACAATTCTGGAATTAAATCACTTTCTTTATGCAGCCCTAGTCCTACCTCCCTGCACGTGACATACACAGCCTTCCTAGACACTTCCTTTAACGAGTCATCTACTGTTTATATTTCTTTTTTTGCAAATTCTGTATCATTTAGAATTTCTTATCTTTTGAGCTGTTAATATCTTGCTAGACCCCACAGGAGCCTCCTATTTGTAAATAAAGTTCAATTTACAGAGCAGGAAATAAAAACCTCTTAAGTAATTAACATCTGATAGAAAATGAAAACCACTGTGTCAGTCACAGGGAGGTGTGGCTAGGTCTGCACAAACGGATACAAAAGTGATTTAACTCCTAAATGGCAGGGAATTAAAGGGCCACTATAGTGCCAGGAAAACATACTCGTTTCTCTGAAACTGCTATGTTTATAAAAGAATGGGTTAAGCCTAGCTGGACCTGGTACCCAGACCACTTCATTAAGCTGAAGTGGTCTGGGTGCCTAGAGTGGTCCTTTAAGCAGTGAAACTTTAGAGGCATGAGTTATACACAGTGTTGTTGTTGGTGACTTAAGTGTTCCTGTAAGTAATAGCTGCCATTAAAAGATACTGAGATATTGTTAGATGCTCTTACTTAAAATACTAACTGGAAAGAAACCCTATTTAAATCTTACCCTTTAAGAAATCTATTTCAGGAGGGTTTTTTTGTTTTCTTTTTAAATACCAGGCATAACACACCTTAGTGTACTACACCCAATGTGTTAAAACCACATATGCACTGCTTACCATAGTATAAATACATACATGCTATGTTTTTATTCTAATAATTCCAATTGGTTAAAGCAGCTCTGTCACGACCTGGGGATTTTGCAGGTTTGCAAAGACCCCTGATGGTGTCATCGGCGCTAGAGATCCGGTGGTCGGGGGGAGGGAGGGGTCGAGAGGTGGGCAAAGGGGAGTTCTGTTTACCTAAACCTGTCCCTTGTGAAAGCTGAAGTGAAGTGTCCGGTATGGAGGGGGTGTGTGTGAGACAGTGCCACTTTAAGAAAAATGTTCATCTTTATCTTTGACAGTTCATACTTTGGCCATTCACTTAACAATAAAATTATTTACTAAAGGGGAATTTGAACTTAATTTCAAATGTATGGGTAAAATACCTGAACTGGAAATATTCTCTCCATAAGCTGTGCTTTCAGTTCAGCTACTCTAGCTTTAAACTTGAAATTCACTTTAGAGCATAACCTTCAGAATTAAAAACTGAATTGCAAAATGTAGACAAGTTAATTTGGAACTAAATCTCTATATCAGCTACTGTCTTATTGACTATTTTTTTTTTAGCCTAAATCTTGCAAATCACAGTTCACTACAAATTGCTTGATAGTGAATAACTGTATAGAAAAGGTTGACATCCCATAATACTCTTTCATTAAGAGGAGCTGTTATCACTTTAAATTTAAACTTGATCTCACCATCTTACCCTGAGCTAATTTGTGAATGAAGGGAACTCCCTCCCATTAAACTGCTTTCCTGGTGGTGACCTCTCTCTTCTAATACCTAACATGACTTAATGTTAGCCTAAACCCCCTGGCTGCCCCTCACTTTCTAGGAATGCTGAACCCCATGTGATGATAATTGCACCCTGTCATACAGCAGTGGAGTCAGCAGGAGTTGATCACTGGTGACAACTCCCCTGGGTCCCGAGCCCCGCCCTCTCTGGCTGGAGCTGACAGGCTGTTTGTGTTTGTGCTGAGAGGTCTTTTCATTGTGCAGCTGAATTGAGGCATTCTGCAAGGATCACATCAGATTCCATTGGAAATGCGCCTAGGTGGACGCTATGGAGTGTCAGTGAGTATAGAGTTCTATTTATGTGTTGTAATATTCTAGCCATTCATTGTTCTGCCTATTACTGTATCACAGTGAAATGTAATGAAGCTGGAAGCTGGGATTGCACTTTGTTCTATACATAATAAATATATATATATACACTTTCACTGCTGGATGATTTTTATTGTATTTAAATTGGACTCTGAATTATTCAGTAAAGCCATAAAAGAGCTTAAACATGGGGGGAAAGCAGTGTTTTATTTGTTGGCAGAATACATTTTAGAACTTCGTACTAACTTGGGGGGGGAAACCAGACAGGAAACAGTAAGTTTTTTCATAAACATTCATTGCTTACAGTGTTTTTAATTAAAAGTGTTATCACTGCTCTTTATCTCTCTGTAACTTGCTTTTGGATATTGTGTGATGCAGAAGTCTTCCTGCAGGGGAGGATTTTACTCTTGAATAATTACACGCAGGCTGATGCTGGCTGTTCAGTCTCACAGAGTTTATTGAATAATAAACTCTGAATAGCCAGGAATACAACGTGGATTTAACATTTCTGGCTAAAACAGCTCTAATTGACTCTAATTTTAGCTGACTCTGAGAATGTTTCCATTTCCTGTTAAAGGGCATAAATTATATGCACAACTGCTCACACTTTAGTCATATGATCTAGTAACTGTAAACTAAGTCACCCAGACCGCTTTATCTCATCGGTCCTATCACTCTAACCCTTCAAAGTAAAACATTGTAGAAATGGCAATGTTTACCTTGTAGGGTTAAACATACGTCTAGTGACTGTCATTTTAATTCCGTGCTTTCCTATAAGAAGTATTTGAACCCTTGCCATGTATCTTGCCTACGATGCTCTCTATGAAGAAGCATTGGATTGGACCAAACACTGGAGGCAATCCCTCCAGGGTGGCGTAACAGAAGGAGGAGCTGGTGGTAGCACCAAGTGGGCACTCAGTGCTGGAGCAAAAATGTGTAAAAAGCGTTTTTTTGTTTTTTTTTAAATTTGTTTCAGCTTTTACTGAAAAAGGGGTGCTAAAACAAATTTGTGTTCCTAATGCTATAGTGTTCCTCTAATTTGTGTACTAGTATTTTTATTTTGTCAGTGGTGTAAATGTACTCTCTTTATAAAACGTTATCATGGTTTTAATCATTATTTCAAATTATCCAAAGCAATGTATGCCTCTGTCTATATTTTTTTTAACTTTATACTGGGGTGTGGGTAATTGGGAAAATACAGAATATACTGTAGGATTGTTTTAGGAGTTGAATTACTAGGGACAAGAAATATATATTACTGGTATTTATCAGGGATGTATTTACCACAAGGTATTCTGGGGCTGTCCACCTTACTGTGAGTGAGTGTAACTGTTAGTGTGTGTGTGTCATTTTATGTGTATCTGAGAGTGAGTCTGTCAGTGAAAGTGTGTGTGTGTGTTGGTTAAACAGTGTGTGCCAATGACTGTGTATCTGTCTTGAGTGTATATCAGTGCATGTATCAATGAGGGCATGTGTCTGTCAGTCAAAAAAATGGACTTGACACGAATTGGGGGGCAAATTTAGATTTTGGGGGTGACCAAATTTAGTCCTGCCTAGGGCAGCACAAATCCAAAATACACCACTGGTATTTATTTATAAAAAAAAATTGATAATCCCAAATACTGGTTATGGTTTTGTTTTTGTTTTTTTAAGGGTATAGACCGATCACTTTTTTTTTACCATTCTTTAATTTATTTATAGGAAAAATAAAAAATGCTGGTACTCTTCTGACACCCAATGCGCAGCTCCGCTGCTGCCAAAGAGATTTTATAGACGTTTCATGTTTGCATTTTCTGTACTATTTAACAAATGGACTACAGTGAAGCGATAGTTTGTCACAGCTCTCATAGTCTATCAGTTGTGAAACTCCCACATTATCCCAGAAACTGCATAGGGACTAGGGTTGAGTGGTGTGTGTGTGTGTCCCTAGATTTGGGGCAGTCACATGACAGCAGGGTTTGAATCACAGACCATATGCTGTATGGCGCAGGGTGAAACAGAAATTACTTTGGACAGGTGTTTTTTTTTTTTTGTTTTTTTGTTTTTTCTTTCTCTTAAATTTTGGTACCCTCTTCTTTTAAAAAAACAAAACCTAATTAAGAAATCATTATAAACTTACCTCTATTCCAGTTTTGGTGGAGACTCTTCAGTGAAGTCATCATGATGGATAACTTTTGTAAAATGAATTGCTTATAATAGAAAAGCAGTGAGGGTACACAGCGAT